AGCGTTTGTTTCCCTCCGATGTCAAGTGTAGCCCGTAATTCACGTGACACGTTCACCGTGTGAACATTTTCTTCTGTAAGTGTGTGTAGCTCAAAGTAGTCTTCTGTCTACTGTTGTCTGACACATAGTTTACTTTCGGTTTAGTCTTGTTAGCCACATGATTTGTTGATTTACTGCTACTGTGTCTCGGTTTCCTCAGTTCGTCACACTTTATTTCAAAGTGATTTGGGGAATTACATTTACGACAGCTCTGCCCATACGCAGGACACTTTTCCTTTTTGTGTTCATGTAACCTGCCACAAAACTTGCACGGTTGACCTTGTTGTCGTTTCACAGGCGTCGTGACGTTTGACCTTTTCTTGTGTTGTGTTACCTTGTGTACAGATACTGTTGCCATAGCACCGTCTAGTGTATTGACACTCTGTTTTGTAATTTCACTTGTTCTGCATAAAGCCTCGGCTTTATCAAGCGTGAGATCAGCAGTTCTCAGCAATCTTTCCCTCAACTGAGTGTCCCTGATTCCGCACACGATTTTATCGCGAATAAGTGAATCACAAAGTTCACCAAAATTACATGACTTTGAAAGTGTTTTTATGTCCGTGATAAACTTGTCAGTGGTCTCGTCTCCCTATTTTCGGACGTTAAATTTGAACCTCTCCACTGTCTCATTTTTTTTCGGTTTGCAGTAATTTTCAAACTTTTCAAGTGCTATATTCACAGTGATCTCTTTCTCATCAACGTCCCATTTTAAAGTTTTGTATATTTCTCGTCCCTCGGAGCCAAGTATATACTTGAACATTTTGAGTTTTTCCTGCTCTTCTGCTCCCTTTAGAGCGAGTTCTGTGAACAACAGAAACTCTTCCCTCCATTTCGTCCAATCATCAGCGACTGTTTTGGTATTAAAATTCAGTGTATGTGGCGGGGGAATCCGTTCAAGCGCCATATTGTGCGTGGTGGCTAGTCTCGGGCCGGTCCACGTGTTTTCAAGGAAATCACAGTTCTATGCGTAAACAGTTCAACGACAAACCTTACTTGGCGTTGTTTCCGCACGCTGACACCATGTTTCAAATCTTTGCTGAGTCTGGCGCATAACTCTGCCTCGATGAGGCGAGGGAGACCATCAAAGGACAACGAGCGATTAACATTAACACTAGGCAATGGCGGTTTATTTTCTCAAAAAACAGGCATGCGCAGTTACATATGGGTAATACTAATTACCGGATTGTCCGGAACCAAATACAACCATGTTACACGTGTGACCAATCAAATTTCTTAAAACATACTACGTCATCACGTGACTTTACAACACAAGATAATCAGGAGTGTGCAATCCCACTTCCTTGATCCAATCACTAGAATGTATTCATCATGACGGCTGCTACATTATGATAAGATGTATCCCTGGTCCATATATCACCCTGTTCTAATCTGGACAATATCTTATCCGCCTCTTACCCTGACAAATGAAATAAATCATTTCTCAATAAAACATGGCATACTTTACATTGAAATAAACAATTTGGTCCCTAACAATAATATTGTAAAAACGTCAAAACTAATTTTGTATATCTAGCTCGTACTGCCTTTAGGATACGGGATTATTTGCGTCATGTAAAATTCTTCATAATTGAGATAACTGTTGATATATTCATATCATAACATTGTTTTCATTCGAGATAACAGAATAACCAGATCCACAGAGATAGCACTTTCACTTTCGTTTTCAGTAATAATTATATTGCTTTGTTACTATTTATGCGTATTAACCAATGCGACTTCAACACAAAGGAATATCGATTAGATCTGTTTTATAAATATCTCAGCTAACAATAGTTACACGTAGATTTCGTAATTTTTACAAACCTGGTTAAGATTAGGAAATTTGGACCATTATATAATGTTCAGTCAATACAGATATCTCTGATGCTTTTTCCAAAATAGCTTTGAAACAATTGGTCAGCCACAGTCCAGCCGAACGGTATCGTTCGACGAAAATCGTTTAAGTATTATGTTGACTTCCATGATGAGCAATTCCGACCTGCGAAAAAAGAGTAATATAAATATCATGTCTTTCACATCTTCTAGGGGTCAGTACCAGCAACTTCGTATTCCTTAAACACAATTCTCAGAGTTACATAAGGTGTCCCAGTTAATATCGATTTTTTTCCCCACAATAAAACCGGACAATTTAACCTACCACGAGCGACGACTTGTCACTTAAATAACCAGTCGAAAGATGGTTTAAATTTGTCTGAATATTGAATTAGTGCCCAACTTCACACTGTTAAGTATATAGATGTTTCTAGAAACTTACCTGTACGGAGTCCTGGTCTTGTGATGCTCTCAGTAGGAAAGGTTTCTGACGAAGCGAAACCCGTCTGAAGATGGGGATATTAAAATATGTGCAGATCCGGAAGCTTCGCGGCAGCACCTTATATACACCTACACACGTGACCATGACGTCATGTATTAGACTTGTACATGCGCCAAACTAACGATCGTACATGATAAAGTGTTGGCCTGTAACGTGTTGACCTAAGTACTGTTACACATATTATGATTTATGTTTTGTTTTTAATTCTACAGTTTAGTACTAAAATATAAGCAACAGTCATAGTTCATATAACGGTAAATTAAACATCCTTAGTCTTATGTACACCTCATAAAGCAGTTAAAAGTGTCGGGTTAAGAAATGTACTACGCTGAATGTTTGCAGTTTTATTTCATCATATAACGACTAACGCTATTTCAATTTGTGACACAGTTTATAATCACACTTGATGATTGAGAGTTGTACCTCAAATCTCCAGCGTTAGTTATAGCACACTACTGACTACTGACAGAATACAGATCAGAATCTCATTAAAGTTCATATATGTAGTACTAGGGGTCAGTAGACTTAAAATAAAACCCAATCCTAGCAGTGAAAAGGAGTTATGTAATCGTAGCGCTTGAAAATTTCGTTCAAGGACAGGTACCAAACTGGCGAAGAGAGGGAAAACCACTTCGCCTTATTTGAAGACTCATTAAACAAAACATCGATGACCATGGTTTCAGGACCATCAATCTGTTCAAACATCAGATTTATGTAAAAAAAAATCGAAAGGCAGAAGTTTTCAGTTAGAAGTTGATTACGGTTAGCTTACTGTAACCTGGGTATGTAAGAGAAATGTTTAGTAAGTTACTGTAACCTGGGTTTGTTAGAGAAATGTTTAGTAAGTTATGTAACCTGGGTTTGTTAGAGAAATGTTTAGTAAGTTACTGTAACCTGGGAATGTTAGAGAAATGTTTAGTAAGTTACTGTAACCTGGGTTTGTTATGAATATCGTCATACAAAAACCGAAAAAGATAAATTTCCTTAAAGATAAAACAGGTCACAAAGACCTTGCAAAGTCGTTTAATTTCACCTTCAGATATACTGATGATGTACTGTCTTTAAATAACGTGAAATGTATTAACTACGCCCATCATATATATATATCGACCAGAGGTAGCAGTAAACAGTTAATTTGCATTTTTCCTGAAATTATTTGTCATGTTTGAGATATACAGGTATAGCAGATTGGTTATGGAAAATACATCATTACATGTATATATATTTATAAACTATATAACAATTACATTAACAGTAGAGAGATGAAATTTGTGTAAAAAAAAAAAAAATTTCCTCTGATTTCTGACATTTGATTGTCATGGTTACCTACTGAAAAAATGCTAAAAATGCAAAAATACTGCTAATTCCAACCCAACACTACAACTTTCTTGGAGAAATTTAATTCTAAACACCTATCTTACAATCAACAGCACTGTCATGGTAACAAAGTACTTACATTTCAGCAAATTCCAACTCGGAAATTCTTCATAACATGACCACATGTGAACACTATGAAAATTTCACTTCCTGTAAAGCTAGTTTTTGGTGCGTAGACACAGATTCGAGACTGCCCAAATAGTAATCTCCAACACAAAGCTAAAATATTATCCTGAAAAAAATGAAACCCCACATTGTCCACTTTAACATGACAGGACCAATTTTGGCAAGGATTTTTTTTTTTTCATTTTTAATCAAAACCTTTATAATGGGGTAATCTAATGAGCAAAAAAATCACCCATGGCCACACCGAGAAACTGTGTACTGCTACCAGAACTTGAAATGAAAGATACGACAGACTCTTCTACATCAATTGCTTATCTCGATCTTTTCCTCCTTTGACATTAACATGAACAGCTTTCAATCAAATCGTATGATAAATGTGATGATTTCAATTTTCCTATTGTGATTTTTTCATTTCCTGATAGCAATATTCCTGCATCTCCAACCTATGATATCTGTATGTCACATGAATTCGATATTCAAGTGCCGCCTCCCATTATCACGATTTTCCCGTAAGAAGTCGTCAACTGACGATCACGTGACAACGAATCACATGACACCACAAAACGAAAATAAACGGTCACGCGACAACGTATGCCACGGATGTAAACACTGAAAATACTCGGCGCTACATATACCTTGTTCTCATTTGAGAACATGACATTAATTACTCTTGGATTGGCCAAGGTTTACATGGCAAGTGTCGTCAATGAAGTAGAAGACACTTACTCTTCCGGAACCCCCTGTCTTTTTCTCCTTGTACCTTTTCTGAGTCATACGTGTAAATTTTTCTTTTGTTCATATTTTGCCCTAGTTTTATGAATTTGAGTTTGAATTATGATTATTTTGACATGTTAGTATTTCCTTGATCTTTTTTTCAGAAAAGTGTGAGTTCATCTCGAAGAAGACTTTATTTCGGATAAATTGGCCCTATATACATGTATGTTTTACTTTACTTCTATGTATATTTGTTTCCATGTCGCTCAAACGCTTTAAAGTAAAGCGTATTTGTGCCAAGCATATGTACGACACAGAGCAAGAAGTTACGACATCAGTTATCATTCGTTCGGCCTACAGAATATTACACAAGCGTGTGAAATTCGTGTACACACTTCCATTCTTCATTTACAAATCAGACCAGGTAATGTTGTAACCTGCAAACAAACAGACACGGAGTCAGTTAGGGCAGATGTTTATATTTGTAGAAGTTGAAATCCTTATTACTGTTACTAGTCTCGGCTAGAGCACGTAGTAGTAAACATTTTCCGAATACACACACTGAACCCACGTCTGTCGTTGTATAGTTAACCCCCCAAAAATTGAAAGTGAACTTTCTTTTTATTCAACATAACAAGTTCAACGAATAACATTAGCAGTAATTAAGCATAAACGCTGTACTGTATTACTGTGTTGTTTATACAATGCATATTGATGGGTGTCCAATTTTTTCTAGAGTGCATTGCGATACTTCATGTTATGTTAGGTTGTGAAACGCACTCTGGGAGAGATGGGATATGATTTAACTTACCAAAATGGAAAAAAAGATAAAGTTGACGTAGATATTTGACGAGAAATCACCAGAAACTTGGCAAACATAATAATAATAATGAATTTATTCAGGAAAGATTTGCACAAATGTATACAAAGCATGATAAATAAAATACATGTTGCATAGTACATAAGGTGAAAAATTGACATAAATAAAACATGCAACACCGGAACATAAAATCACAATAAAGACAGCTGATATATATGTTAAACAAATCTATCCAAGGATAGCCCAAAAAGCGTAACAATATACGCTTATTTCCGTTGGGGTCATAGTGACTCACATGTAGGAGATTCTCATGTTTTTTTACCTTAAAGTTTAAATTCATTTCTCTTAGATTCAAGAAAATGACAAAATTACTCCTGAAGCACATGATCTGTACAAGGGATTCATTTTCAGCATTATACATGTCTGTACCATCAACTGTTTATCTTAAAGTCCTCTTTCTTTTTTTGTAAAGAGAAACAACATCCTACTATGATTGACTAAATACTCCGACAAAGATGACAGACACAGAACTTCAAGCGGATGAATTGCTAGCATTGACAAGTATCTATGACGACACCATCTTTGCTGTCTCCCAGGATGGGGAGGATGTTGGTGGCCAGTTTCTGTCCAATGTTCATTTGCCTGACATGACCATCAAGATCGTGAGCCGAAGAGAAAAAGGAGGTAAAACTTCTGATAAAAGTCTTAATTATTTTCATCAGAGTTTAGATACACCTTGATCCAAAGTAAATGGCTGTTTAACATGATCATATTTACTAGCCAGCAAACAGCAGCCTTTTCATAATTCTGATATCTAAAGTTTATGATTGCTATTTCTGTAACATGTGGGCTAATTTGTTACACATTAATATTCCCTATCATAGGTGATGGTACTGCTGGTACAGCAAGATTTGTTGATGGAGAAACGACACTGATGACATTTTATAGAGAAAAAAAAAATCAAACATGTCAACATGATCATAATCCAAACAAGACCAGGGCAAAATTAGTGTTAACATAATTACAGCATGGTGACAACAACTGTGATAATTTGTATTTACTTTGTGTATCTAATCAAATGATTATTATATTCATGAAACAAAGACACGAATTTGATAGAGGAAGTCCACCAAGTGAAGTTCTTGCCACCAGTGATACTCAACTTCCAGTTGCCTGTCGACTACCCTTCTTGTAGTCCTCCACAGTTTACTTTGTCCTGCAAGTGGCTCAATAGAAAACAGGTAGATCTATATGTCAGTCACTGCAACCATTTCTTACAATATTAGTTCAGTTTGTTAAATGTTGTAAGTGTTCATGTTTAATGCATGCAATTGCTTATTTGCCAGTCATTCATAGTTTTCATGAATTAAATCAAACTGAAATACTTGTAGAAAGTGTAAGTCATTTTCCTGTTTCAAAATGAACTTTTGATTTCCCTCACTTGATCATGAACATTTGAGATAAAATTATAGAGTTAGTATATGTAGCAGCTAAGCTAAATGAAGTTAAAGCTCTAGAACATTGAACTTGTAGTGAATGTATCGCTATCTTTCATAAGTAGGTAGATAAAATAGATACCAAGGCATAAGCTTGATAAAGATAATGTAAGTTGTTAGTGACAGTTTAAAATAAGCATTATTGTTAAAATGATAATGATCTTGACCTAGATACAATAACACATGAAAATGTGTAGCGGTTGTCATCTTACCAACTTTACTTGATTGTTATGAAGCCCTGAGAAAATCAATTAAGAAATAATTTTATTTGTGGATGAAAACCAGTAAGATGAGATCACTTTTCCTGGGTTAACTTTGACGTTTATCCAAGTGAGTGATATACTTTGATAGAAGTCTGCCTCTTACTAACTTCTACATATGATTCCTAAAGTGTAGCAAACATCAGGCTTGTGAGTAATGATGCCAGCTTTTAACCTTGAAATGATAGTTTCATGTTACACAGTATAATACAGCTTCAGGAAGTTTATTGAAGATGAGTTAGTTAATCATATTGTTATTGATAATATAAGCAGGCCTAGGTCCCAATTGGTAATTGACAGATAAAATGGTTCTATGAAAGGTCCAGCTAAAGATATATACATATTCAAATATAAAGGTTGAATTCACATTGCCTATAATGCTTAATCTAGTGTGTTGATTGTTGTTACTTTAATATACCAGATATATATATATTTTAGTTAAAATTCTCTGTTTTCCAATTCTATTATTTATGTATATATATTTTACATTCATGTAACTGCTTTTAGCCAGTTTTTGAGACAAAATTGGATAGTGTTTAAATAATGTTGACTTTATATACTATTTGTGTGTGTCTATTACTGATTACAGCTGGCTGCTCTTTGCCACAAACTTGATGCTATCTGGGAGGAGAATAAAGGCAATGAGATTTTGTTTATGTGGACCAGCTTTATTGCAGAAGAGACTTTAGAATTCCTAGGTTTGGAGTCCACTATTGACCTAACAAATGCCTTTGATAGTCGGAAAGTCACCGAGTCCAGGGCTATACAGGATATTGGTTCCAAAGATCGTCTCATCCCCACTGTTTTAGACTATGACAAACAGGAGGAGCAGCGCCAGTTTGAGAAGACAATGTTCCAATGTAAAGTCTGCTTCCTGGACCGACAAGGATCTTCTTGTATTAAGTTCCTGGACTGTGACCATGTGTATTGTAAAGAGTGTATGAAGGACTATTTTACTGTACAAATTGCAGAGGGAAATGTAACAGCCCTGAGTTGTCCTGATGACAAATGTGAATCACAAGCTCACCCTTCCCAGGTAAAATAACAACTGGCTTTATCCCTCCCACACAGATCACAGACTCTCCCCTCGCAAGTAAAACACTGGCTCACCCCTCGCTTTGAAATACTGACTCACTCCTTCAAGGTAAAACACTGGCTCACCCCTCGCTTTGAAAAACTGACTCACTCCTTCCAGGTAAAACACTGGCTCACCCCTCGCTTTTGAATCATAGACTTACAGTTCACTACTCTCAAGCACATCACAGACCCCTCTGAGGTAAATCACTGACTCAATCCTTCCAGGTAAATCACAGGCTTACGTGTACCTACAGGTAAATCTCAGGTTCACTACTCTCAAGTAAATCACATTCTAATCTCGGCAAATCAGAAACTACTGACTTTGTACCTAACAGACAGCTGGTTTCTATAAAAGTTTGTGTTTGTTTGACAGGTGAAGGCCCTGGTTAATGAGGAGCTGTATGACAAGTATGAGAATTTATTGCTTCAGACGAGTCTGGATATGATGGTGGATATCATGTACTGCCCAAGGCCTGCATGTCAGTACCCAGTGATGCTGGACCGTGAAAGCAATATGGGTTCTTGTCCGTCATGTAGTTATGCCTTCTGTACTTTGTGTAAACTTGTATTCCATGGAAAGTCTCCATGTCGAGTGAAGGCTGGTAAGAATTTACTTTGATTCTGCTATCTCTGGTTTGTGTGAACTTGTTCTCCATGAAATGACTTGATTTCTTTACTTTGTGTGAACTTGTTCTGCATGAAATGACTTGATTTCTTTACTTTGTGTGAACTTGTTCTCCATGAAATGACTTGATTTCTTTACTTTGACTTGATATCAAGTGAAGGTTTGCAAGTTTTAACAGTCTGTAAGTTTTTGTTATGATAAAATTTGTAGTACTATTTTTTGCCCTTATGATTTGTTTTCATTCAGACTAATAATTTGATAATACCCTAGCTGGAGAGTTTTTATATTATTTTGTCACTTGACCATAGTTCATGGTAACCTATGTGATCGTCCTTCATCTGTCGTCATTTATTGTTTTTCTGCATTTACGTTTTTTGTGTACCGGATGACTTGAGTTAATGTGAACGGATTCTAATGAAAGTTGGTATGCAGCTTTGTATCATTAAGATATCTAACAATTTTGACAATGGGACATATTTTAATGTATTTTACAGAGTATTAGCCCTTTGCATTTTAACGTAAAATTAGTGAGGTGATCGTTTAGGCCAATGGGTCACTTGTATACATAAATAATTAACAGAACAAAATAATGGTAAAGGAAGTTAAAACAGTCCATAATATCTGGTGTTAAATTTTGTGGATTCTGGAATAATCACCTCCATAGACATTTCTAGGTACATTTGAATCCTTGATAAATTTACAGAAACCTCATGACTCTTTAGCAGTTATTGAATATCTTTGAGCTTTATCCTGTAATATTCAAAAGCCTGCAATAAAACATAAAACTAAAGGGGCTTGTGATGATCATAATAAGTGTGTGTTTCTGATATATCTATATTTAGATGGTTTTAAGAAGCTGAGAGAAGAGTACTTGAACGCTGACGAGGAGACTAAGAGATTCCTGGAGAAGAAGTATGGAAAGAAGACTATAGAACAGGCTCTAGAGGAAGCTTTCACTAATGAGTGGATGGAAAGCTTTGCCAAGCAGTGCCCTGGATGCGGAGCACAAATACAAGTATTTGTTTACCAATAATCACAGTGTAATCTGACCACCTTTCATCACTGTGTAATCTGACCACCTGTTATCACTGTATAATCTGACCACCTTTCATCACTGTATAATCTGACCACCTGTTATCACTGTGTAATCTGACCACCTGTTATCACTGTATAATCTGACCACCTGTTATCACTGTGTAATCTGACCACCTGTTATCACAGTGTAATCAGACCACCTTTCATCACTGTGTAATCTGACCACCTGTTATCACTGTGTATTCTGACCACCTGTTATCACTGTATAATCTGACCACCTGTTATCACTGTGTATTCTGACCACCTGTTATCACTGTATAATCTGACCACTATATTTAATGTATAATCTGACCATCAGTTATCACTGTGTAATCTGACCATCTCTTATCACTGTGTAATCTGACCACCTTTTATTACTCTAATCTGATGACCAGTTATCACTGTGTAATCTGACCACCTTTCATCACTGTGTAATCTGACCACCTGTTATCACAGTGTAATCTGACCACCTTTCATCACAGTGTAATCTGACAACATTTCATCACTGTGTAATCTGACCACTATATTCACAGTATAATCTGACCACCTGTTATCACAGTGTAATCTGACAACCATTCATCACAGTGTAATCTGACCACCTTTCATCACTGTGTAATCAGACCACTATATTCAATGTATAATCTGACCATCACTTATCACTGTGTATTCTGACCACCTTTCATCACTGTGTAATCTGACCACCTGTTATCACAGTGTAATCTGACCACCTGTTATCACTGTGTATTCTGACCACCTGTTATCACTGTGTTATCTGATGACCTTTTATTACTCTAATCTGATGACCAGTTATCACTGTGTAATCTGACCACCTTTCATCACTGTGTAATCTGACCACCTGTTATCACTGTGTAATCTGACCACTATATTCACAGTATAATCTGACCATCACTTATCACTGTGTAATCTGACCACCTGCTATCACTGTGTAATCTGACCACCTTTTATCACTGTGTGATCTGAACATCTCTCATCACTGTGTAATCTGACCAACTTTTATCACTGTGTATTCTGACCACCTGTTATCACTGTGTAATCTGATCACCTTTTATTACTGTGTAATCTGACCACCTTTTATTACTCTAATCTGATGACCAGTTATCACTGTGTAATCTGACCACCTTTCATCACTGTGTAATCTGACCACCTTTTATCACTGTGTTATCTGACCACCTGTTATCACTGTATAATCTGACCACTATATTCAATGTATAATCTGACCATCACTTATCACTGTGTAATCTAACCACCTTTCATCACTGTGTAATTTGACCACCTGTTATCACAGTGTAATCTGACCACCTGTTATCACTGTGTAATCTGACCACCTGTTATCACAATGTAATCTGACCACCTGTTATCACTGTATAATCTGACCACTATATTCAATGTTGATCTGACCATCACTTATCACTGTGTAATCTGACCACCTTTCATCACTGTGTAATTTGACCAACATTTCATCACTGTGTATTCTGACCACCTGTTATCACTGTATAATCTGACCACTATATTCAATGTATAATCTGACCATCACTTATCACTGTGTAATCTAACCACCTTTCATCACTGTGTAATCTGACCACCTGTTATCACAATGTAATCTGACCACCTGTTATCACTGTGTAATCTGACCACCTGTTATCACAGTGTAATCTGACCACCTGTTATCACTGTATAATCTGACCACTATATTCAATGTTGATCTGACCATCACTTATCACTGTGTAATCTGGCCGCCTTTCATCACTGTGTAATCTGACCACCTGTTATCACAGTGTAATCTGACCACCTGTTATCACTGTATAATCTGACCACTATATTCAATGTATAATCTGACCATCACTTATCAATATATAATCTGACCACCTTTGATCACTGTGTAATCTGACCACCTGTTATCACTGTATAATCTGACCACTATATTCACAGTATAATCTGACCATCACTTATCACAGTGTAATCTGACCACCTGTTATAACTGTATAAACTGACCACTATATTCACAGTATAATCTGACCACCTGTTATCACAGTGTAATCAGACCACCTTTCATCACAGTGTAATCTGACCACCTTTCATCACTGTGTAATATGACAACATTTCATCACTGTGTAATCTGACCACCTGTTATAACTGTATAAACTGACCACTATATTCACAGTATAATCTGACCACCTGTTATCACAGTGTAATCTGACCACCTGTTATCACAGTGTAATCTGACCACCTTTCATCACTGTGTAATCTGACCACCTGTTATCACAGTGTAATCTGACCACCTGTTATCACTTTATAATCTGACCACTATATTCACAGTATAATCTGAACTTCACTTATCACTGTGTAATCTGACCACCTGTTATCACTGTATAAACTGACCACTATATTCACTGTGTAATCTGACCATCACTTATCACTGTGTAATCTGACCACCTGTTATCACTGTGTAATCTGATCACCTTTTATTACTGTGTAATCTGATCACCTTTTATTACTCTAATCTGATGACCAGTTATCACTGTGTAATCTGACCACCTGTTATCACAGTGTAATCTGACCACCTGTTATCAGTGTATAATCTGACCACTATATTCAATGTATAATCTGACCATCACTTATCACTGTGTAATCTGACCACCTTTCATCACTGTGTAATCTGACCACTTGGTATCACAGTGTAATCTGACCACCTGTTATCACTGTATAATCTGACCACTATATTCAATGTATAATCTGACCATCACTTATCACTGTGTAATCTGACCACCTGTTATCCCAGTGTAATATGACCACCTGTTATCACTGTGTAATCTGACCATCTCTTATCAATGTATAATCTGACCACCTGTTATCACTGTGTAATCTGACCACCTTTTATCACTGTGTAATCTGACCACCTGTTATCACTGTGTAATCTGACCACCTTTTATCACTGTGTAATCTGACAACCTGTTATCCCTGTGTAATCTGAATATCTCTCATCACTGTGTAATGTAAACATCTCTTATGACTGTGTAATGTGACCATCGCTTATCACCATTTAATCTGACCAATATAATCACTATATAATCTGACCAATTTTATCACTGTGTAATCTCACCAATTTTATCACTGTATAATCTGACCAATTTTATCACTGTGTAATCTGACCACCTGTTATCACAGTGTAATCTGACCACCTTTTATCACTGTGTAATCTGACCACTATATTCAATGTTGATCTGACCATCACTTATCACTGTGTAATCTGACCACCTTTCATCACTGTGTAATTTGACCAACATTTCATCACTGTGTATTCTGACCACCTGTTATCACTGTATAATCTGACCACTATATTCAATGTATAATCTGACCATCACTTATCACTGTGTAATCTGACCACCTTTCATCACTGTGTAATTTGACCAACATTTCATCACTGTGTATTCTGACCACCTGTTATCACTGTATAATCTGACCACTATATTCAATGTATAATCTGACCATCACTTATCACTGTGTAATCTAACCACCTTTCATCACTGTGTAATCTGACCACCTGTTATCACAATGTAATCTGACCACCTGTTATCACTGTGTAATCTGACCACCTGTTATCACAGTGTAATCTGACCACCTGTTATCACTGTATAATCTGACCACTATATTCAATGTTGATCTGACCATCACTTATCACTGTGTAATCTGGCCGCCTTTCATCACTGTGTAATCTGACCACCTGTTATCACAGTGTAATCTGACCACCTGTTATCACTGTATAATCTGACCACTATATTCAATGTATAATCTGACCATCACTTATCAATATATAATCTGACCACCTTTGATCACTGTGTAATCTGACCACCTGTTATCACTGTATAATCTGACCACTATATTCACAGTATAATCTGACCATCACTTATCACAGTGTAATCTGACCACCTGTTATAACTGTATAAACTGACCACTATATTCACAGTATAATCTGACCACCTGTTATCACAGTGTAATCAGACCACCTTTCATCACAGTGTAATCTGACCACCTTTCATCACTGTGTAATATGACAACATTTCATCACTGTGTAATCTGACCACCTGTTATCACAGTGTAATCTGACCACCTTTCATCACTGTGTAATCTGACCACCTGTTATCACAGTGTAATCTGACCACCTGTTATCACTTTATAATCTGACCACTATATTCACAGTATAATCTGAACTTCACTTATCACTGTGTAATCTGACCACCTGTTATCACTGTATAAACTGACCACTATATTCACAGTATAATCTGACCATCATTTATCACTGTGTAATCTGACCACCTGTTATCACAGTGTGATCTGAACATCTCTCATCACTGTGTAATCTGATCACCTTTTATTACTGTGTAATCTGACCACCTTTTATTACTCTAATCTGATGACCAGTTATCACTGTATAATCTGACCACCTTTCATCACTGTGTAATCTGACCACCTGTTATCACAGTGTAATCTGACCACCTGTTATCAGTGTATAATCTGACCACTATATTCAATGTATAATCTGACCATCACTTATCACTGTGTAATCTGACCACCTTTCATCACTGTGTAATCTGACCACTTGGTATCACAGTGTAATCTGACCACCTGTTATCACTGTATAATCTGACCACTATATTCAATGTATAATCTGACCATCACTTATCACTGTGTAATCTGACCACCTGTTATCCCAGTGTAATATGACCACCTGTTATCACTGTGTAATCTGACCACCTTTTATCACTGTGTAATCTGACCACCTGTTATCACTGTGTAATCTGACCACCTTTTATCACTGTGTAATCTGACAACCTGTTATCCCTGTGTAATCTGAATATCTCTCATCACTGTGTAATGTAAACATCTCTTATGACTGTGTAATGTGACCATCGCTTATCACCATTTAATCTGACCAATATAATCACTATATAATCTGACCAATTTTATCACTGTGTAATCTCACCAATTTTATCACTGTATAATCTGACCAATTTTATCACTGTGTAATCTGACCACCTGTTATCACTGTGTAATCTGACCACCTTTTATCACTGTGTAATCTGACCACCTTTTATCATTGTGTAATCTGACCACCTGTTATCACTGTGTAATCTGAATATCTCTCATCACTGTGTAATGTAAACATCTCTTATGACTGTGTAATGTGACCATCGCTTATCACCATTTAATCTGACCAATATAATCACTATATAATCTGACCAATTTTATCACTATGTAATCTGACCAATTTTATCACTGTATAGTCTGACCAATTTTATCACTGTGTAATCTGACCAATTTTATCACTGTGTAATCTCACCAATATAATCACTATATAATCTGACCAATTTTATCACTGTGTAATCTGACCAATTTTATCACTATATAATCTGACCAATTTTATCACTGTGTAATCTGACCTCCTCTTTTCTCACTCAATCAGAACATTCTAATCTGTGAGCTGTTAACTCAAATCATAACACTTTTTCAGATATAAACACCAGATTTCAATTCACTGTAATATTTTTGTGATTTTACAGAAAATGGATGGATGTAACAAGATGACATGTATGAAATGTCGTTCATACTTCTGTTGGTTATGTATGTCGGAACTCTCCAGGAACAATCCGTACAAACACTTCAGTCAGCCAGGCAGTGACTGTAATAATCGTCTGTTTGAAGGTATGGAGGAAGATGATGATTTTGACATAGAAGAAGATCTCTTTTTCTGATGTGTTATCTTATCTGATTGTATGAGTGTGATATCTCTTTGTGGTTTATAGCTATTTCAAAGGATTTTTTTATTCCATTTTTCAATGTTACAGTATACTAAACAGGATTAAGGTGCTATTTAACGGAAACTGTGTTAATTTGTAAAAGTGATAAATTATGTATATATGACATTGTCAGAGGTTGAAATTCATCTTGATTCTGAGGCTCAAATTCCTATAACTGACCAGTTGGGTTGGGGATGTTAAAGGTTATATAGACTTATTGACCAGTGATAAATGAAAAGTAAAAAATTTATTAACAGTCTGAGATCACAGTTCCTGATCTGTGGTCTGGGTCTATGTTAGATTACCAGTCTGAGATCACAGTTCCTGATCTGTGGTCTGGGTCTATGTTAGATTACCAGTCTGAGATCACAGCTCCTGATCTGTGGTCTGGGTCTATGTTAGATTACCAGTCTGAGATCACAGCTCCTGATCTGTGGTCTGGGTCTATGTTAGATTACCAGTCTGAGATAACAGCTCCTGATCTGTGGTCTGGGTCTATGTTAGATTACCAGTCTGAGATCACAGCTCCTGACATATGTAGGTTTTAAACAGAGTGTGATAGCCTTTCAGTGCCACAAGAACTGTATCAGACTTTGCATCATCACATATGATTTATTTATTGCAGACACATGTATTTGTATTAATTTGCTTGTGTCTTGATTTTTTAAAGATGCCTTATTTATTGTTAGCTGTTAAACTTTAGTGAGTGAACACTTACAAAGCTCAAATATTGATAATCTAGTATTGATTTCCAGATGTCAATATACTATGTAATAGGGGCATTAGAATTAGTATTTGACACAAGTGCTCTGATTAATTTATTGATTTACTATCTGTGATGAATTTGGAAGTAGGTTTGACTAAGTTAATTTTGTACATTAGCCTTTCTGTATCTTTTTAAAGGTTATGTTTAAATACTGAAGTACCTAAATTCTGGTCAGAAATAACAAACAAATATGTAGAATTTTATCTTACTTTTGGAGTGTACAAGATAGCACTTACAATGTTGAACTATGCCAGTTACTAGGTGTGCAAGAGAACATTAATTTGATTGTGTCAAGCACACTGTAGATTTGTGGTACTTAAAAACTTAACAATTTTATATTATAAATTGTTTTTATTGAATTATTCTATCATAAAATGTTCAAGGCACTATTGCACCTTTTTGTGGACTCTAACATTTATTTTTTTTAACGAAAGTTCATTATTGTGATTATTTTGTGTTAAATAATGATTTTACTGCAATAAGAAAGTCGTTTTTTCCTCTTTTATTAAAAAAATATATTCACTGTGATGAAATAAAAAAAATCTCAGAATCTACTGCTGTCAGTTTAGTTATAAATGTCATTGTAATTAGTTGACCATAACTAATCAGTCTGTAATCTTTATGATGTTTGTTATATTCACGTACTCCACAGTTATCTAGTAACAAGTTACATGTAAACTTTGTATGATAGAAGAAAAACAAACATAATTATCATTCTTTTAATAGAAACTCCAGAAATCATAGATAACAATAGGATAAAAGTCCTAAATAGTCCAGCCAGTTGATTTGTAGCTTATTTGATGAGAGTCTGAGGACAAAGATTTCTTTGTTAGGTCCAGTAACTCTGTTTTCTTTGTTTTAATTCCTTTTTCAGATGTGCTATAAAAACATAGCTAGGAGATTTACATTTTTATGTGAATGACAGGAATAGAGCCAATTTGATTAATCACGTCACATCAAAACATTTCCATTGAAATCAACATTGTACAGCTGTATATTATTAATTTAAATCATGTTGATATGTATTAATTCTCAATATTTTTTAAAAAATTATATGTCAATGAGCAATCAAAGTTCTGACTATAACATTAATGTTTGTTGTCTAACTCTCCCTGTATAACAGGAGAATTGATTATAACATTAATGTTTGTTGTCTAACACTCCCTGTATAACAGGAGAATTGATTATAACGTTAATGTTTGTTGTCTAACACTCCCTGTATAACAGGAGAATTGATTATAACATTAATGTTTGTTGTCTAACACTCCCTGTGTAAGACGAGAATTGATTATAACATTAATGTTTGTTGTCTAACACTCCCTGTATAACAGGAGAATTGATTATAACATTAATGTTTGTTGTCTAACACTCCCTGTGTAAGACGAGAATCGATTATAACATTAATGTTTGTTGTCTAACACTCCCTGTATAACAGGAGAATTGATTATAACATTAATGTTTGTTGTCTAACACTCCATGTGTAAGACGAGAATCGATGATAACATTAATGTTTGTTGTCTAACACTCCCTGTGTAAGACGAGAATCGATTATAACATTAATGTTTGTTGTCTAACACTCCCTGTATAACAGGAGAATTGGCTTCCTTGTTTTGGAGGATATGATTATGAATTATCGGTTTCTTTGTCAAAAAGTCTTGTAATTACCTCCCTTTTATTCCATATACAAGTAATTGTTTGCTTTTGTGTTCAGTATAAAGAATTAGAGTTTAGTACTACCTCGGATACTAGAGTGGTTATGAAATGTTGTGATATCCTACACTGAGAAATAATCATTTGAAACCAAACCAAATGTATATATAGTCAGTCAGCCACATTGTAGGAATCATAGTAGCAAGGTTTAACTATCATCAAATTGAACCAGTCAGACTTATGATAATACTAATATCATGTACTCTTCATCAGTATTTCTGAATAACAGTATCTTAGTTTGCTATTGTTATGATAATTTCCTATGGTAATCTGTATCTTAATTTTCTTGATCAGTCATATGAAAGCTGAAAGTGTAAGATGAGATGAGTTGTCAGATAGATATTAGAACTTGTATTGATATCTATTTATATCTAAAAAGATTAAATCAATATGGTAGTTTGGTGCCATTTTCAGACCTATCAGCCATCTTTAGGAAATTGCCTAATTATCATTGGTTATGACATAATCGATGGTAGCAGCAGGGGAGGTAATAATGTTACTTCCTATAAGGTATCATGTCACTAAATAATACAGTTAATGACCATGTCTTTCAAACATCTCAACAGATATTTGATATTATACAGATAAATAATAGGATGGAACAGTGACATGGATTTGTATGATAGAACAGTGACACGGATTTGTATGATAGAACAGTGTTATGGGTTTGTATGGTATAACAGTGATACAGATTTGTATGGTAGAACAGTGACACATATTTGTAGTGATAGAACAGTGACACGGATTTGTATGATAGAACAGTGACACGGATTTGTATGATAGAACAGTGACACGGATTTGTATGATAGAACAGTGACACGGATTTGTATGATAGAACAGTGACACGGATTTGTATGATAGAACAGTGACACGGATTTGTATGATAGAACAGTGTTACGGGTTTGTATGGTATAACAGTGATACGGGTTTGTATGGTAGAACAGTGACACATATTTGTAGTGATAGAACAGTGACACGGATTTGTATGATAGAACAGTGACACGGATTTGTATGATAGAACAGTGATACACAGATAAGATAAAATAGCTAAATCCCCAGTAATGACTTCTGGTTATAATTGTTTGTTGACTTGTTAAGCAGTGGAGATCCCCAATAGCATTGGTATTTGAATGGCTTTGTATCGTAAAGTGTTATTGAGGGTTCCTGATGTTATTGTTATACATGTGATATATTAAGAGAAAAATAATTTTTTTCTATTTAGATGTTAAAATATGCCGAGAGTGTATGTTATCATTATATTGACTGGTGTTTTTGTGTCCCTGGCTCAAAATGATAATAAAATGTTGTTGGATTTGGTGACAATTTTTTTTTATTTCTTTCATATCATTATTTATTGTCTGTTATGCTCCCCCAAAGGGGTAGCATAAATCGCTGCTTTGTCGGTCACTTTGCCATCCATGATAGATTTGACTGGAGCATAACACAAAAACTATAAGAGGTATCAACATCAAACTTCATAGCCAGATAAATCTCAGCAAGGAGAAGTGTAGAATAGCAGAACCATCACTATGTTATGCATGATTTAGTTGCTGTCCTTTGTGGTGATCACAGCTGTACTATTGTGAGTAGGGACCAGGATCTGTAGGCTGTAAGGTGATCACAGCTGTACTATTGTGAATAGGGAACAGGCTCTTTAGAATGTAAGGTGATCACAACTGTACTATTGTGAGTAGGGAACAGGCTCTGTAGGCTGTAAGGTGATCACAGCTGTACTATTGTGAGTAGGGAACAGGCTCTTTAGAATGTAAGGTGATCACAACTGTACTATTGTGAGTAGGGAACAGGCTCTGTAGAATGTAAGGTGATCACAGCTGTACTATTGTGAGTAGGGAACAGGCTCTGTAGAATGTAAGGCAATCGCAGCTGTACTATTGTGAGTAGGGAACAGACTCTGTAGGATGTAAGGTGATTACAACTGTACTATTGTGAGTAGGGAACAGGCTCTGTAGGATGTAAGGTGATCACAACTGTACTATTGTGAGTAGGGACCAGGATCTGTAGAATGTAAGGTGATTACAACTGTACTATTGTGAGTAGGGAACAGGCTCTGTAGGATGTAAGGTGATCACAACTGTACTATTGTGAGTAGGGACCAGGATCTGTAGAATGTAAGGTGATTACAACTGTACTATTGTGAGTAGGGAACAGGCTCTGTAGGATGTAAGGTGATTACAACTGTTCTATTATGAGTAGGGACCAGGATCTGTAGGATGTAAGGTGATTACAATGTACTATTGTGAGTAAGGAACAGGCTCTGTAGGATGTAATGTGATCACAGCTGTACTATTGTAGTCTAGAGACAAAACACCTGTAGGATGTAGTTTAATATCACTGACGAATCAAGAGAGACAAAACACTTGTAGGATGTAGTGTAATATCACTAACGAGTCTAAAGACGAAACACTTGTAGGATGTAGTTTGATATCACTGACGAATGTAGAGACGAAACATTTTTAGGATGTAGTTTAATATCATCGACGAGTCTAGAGAGACAAAACAGTTGTAGGATGTAGTTTAATATCAAGACAAAACACAGTTTAATATCAGAGAGACAAAACCTTGTAGGATGTAGTTTAATATCACTGATGAGTCTATAGAGATGTAACACTTGTAGGATGTAGTTTAATATCAATGACGAGTCTAGCGACAAAACACCTGTAGGATGTAATGTAATATCACTGACGAATCTAGAGAGACAAAACACCTGTGGGATGTAGTTTAATATTACTGACGAGTCTAGAGAGACAAAACACTTGTAGGATGTAGTTTGATATCACTGACGAGAGAGACAAAGCACCTATAGGATGTAGTTTAATATCACTAACGAGTCTAGAGACAAAACACCTGTAGGATGTAGTTTAATATCACTTTCGAGTCTAGAGATTAAACACTTGTAGGATGTAGTTTAATATCACTGTCGAGTCTAGAGAGATGTAACACCTGTAGGATGTACTTTAATATCACTAACGAGTCTAGAGATTAAACACTTGTAGGATGTAGTTTAATATCACTTTCGAGTCTAGAGACAAAACACTTGAAGGATATCGTTTAATATCACTCTCGAGACTAGAGAAGAAAAAACACCTGTAGGATGTAGTTTAATATCTCTGACGAGTCTAGAGTCAAAACACCTATAGGATGTAGTTTAATATCACTGACGAGTCTAGAGACAAAACACCTGTAGGATGTAGTTTAATATCACTGACGAATCAAGAGAGACAAAACACCTGTAGGATGTAGTTTAATATCACTGACGAGTGTAGAGACGAAACACCTGTAGGATGTAATTTAATATCACTGACTAATCAAGAGAGACAAAACACCTGTGGGATGTAGTTTAATATCACTGACGAATCTAGAGAGACAAAACACTTGTAGGATGTAGTTTAATATCACTGACGAGTCTAGAGACAAAACACCTGTAGTATGTAGTTTAATATCACTGACGAGTCTAGAGAGACAAAACACTTGTAGGATGTAGTTTAATATCACTGACGAATCAAGAGAGACAAAACACTTGTAGGATGTAGTTTAATATCACTGACGAGTCTAGAGACACAAAACACTTGTAGGATGTAGTTTGATATCACTGACGAGTGTAGAGACGAAACACTTGTAGGATGTAGTTTAATATCACTGACGAGTCTAGAGAGACAAAACAGTTGTCGAATCTAGAGAGACAAAACACCTGTA